GAGACTTATATAACACAAATCCCAAGAAATTATGTCACTTTATGACTACATACAAATCTTCATCACTATTCGAAAATAACTTCATGATTATAAATATTATTAGCTTGCTTAAAAAATGAAGTACTTTGCTTTAAAAATGTAATCATTAAAATGTTGATAAATTAAAATTTTGATTGATCATGGTTGAACAATACTTTATTGGTTAATTCTACACATCTTTAAAAATTTTCATTATGAAAAAACTCCAGAGTTTTTTATTATAAAAATTTTTTCTTATAAAAATTTTCATTATGAAAAAACTCCAGAGTTTTTTATTATAAAAATTTTTTCTTATAAAAATTTTCAAAGATCTTCAAATATTTCCAGTCGAAAATGTTTGAAAACTTTTTTATGGTGGAGATCTCTGAAGATCTCCATCCAAAAAATTTTCTGATGAATATTATGCCTTTCTAGTAGCTTGGTATAGTATCTCTAAGTCAATTAGGGTCATTATCAACAGTTTGTTACTGTTGATTATTCCAAAAAATAATAAAATGTTAAAGTTGAAATTAGGAAAGAGAAAAATGAAAAACAATTCAAAGTTCTTCAAAAAATTCTTGTTCCATTTCACAGCCTTTTCTCAAAAGAAGTCTTGCCTAATTGGAATATTTTTCTTTGTTTTATTTGAACTTTGAAAGAAATTTTCTTTGTTACTACCTGTGGCATTAAATGAGTCTTCATTTAAACATATACTAGATTGGGATAGTCCAAGAGAAAACAAAAGATCTCAGCTTCTATCCTAAAAAACTTGTTCATTACTTGAGAAACTTAAAAAAGGAATGAAATTTCTTTGTGCAGATTTACTACACCTTTTGGTATTATAACTATTTCTTGAGATTGAATATATATAATTAGAGAAAAACTTCTTCTAAAACTTTCTTTCCTGCATCACTCATGATATGATAGAAACATATGAGTATAACTAATAGAAGCTTGTTTACTTTTTTTGAAACTAATATATTTTATATTAGTTAATTATCTTTGGTGAAAATTTATACTATCCAAAATTTAAGGTCAAATTAAGGTAAGCAAAATTTCTTAGAAAACTATAAAAGCAATAGCTCTAAAAGACTTATAAGTAATTGGAAGAAAAAAAAATAAGTCTTTCTGTCATTAAAAACTTCTATATACCTTTTGCTTAAAAAGTGAAAAAGGTTTTCATGTATTTTACTATTGGTTCTTTTTCCATTGGGAACTTTTTTGCTGTTGATATCAAAAGTGTTACTTGACTTGTTCTTGGTCACCAGAAGTCAAGTTTTTGATTAAAGAGGATTGTAAACAAGTAAGGAAGGGTAGAAGTGATTTTTGAAGTCACTTTTCAAGAAGTTTTAAGAAAAGTGTTTAAGACTTTTTAGCAAAAAAGCAAAAAAACTTTTATGAACATCTTTTTTTGTATGTGATTAGAAAATCAGCAAAAAGAGTTTTTTTTCATTAAACAATTAATATATATTGTAATCTCTTTTTTTATAATAAATATTATATTTTAATGTTATATACAGTATTGATGCATTGATATATAAACATGTGTTTGCTTATTTGTTGATACAATTTGTTTATTGTGTTTTTTTTTATGTTTATATGAAAAAACTTGATTTGGTTGCTTACTAATTAGTTGGTTTGAAATTACCAATTTAACAATTGTTTTATATTATCAAAGGATCAACAAAGAATTTTATTTTAAAAAATTAAACTATGTTTACAATATCTCGAGGAACCTAAATCAATCAAATTTATAGAATTTATTATATTTGTTAAGCTAGTTTGAAGTATAAATTTTAATTCGATTTCTAATGCAATTCTCGTTTGCATATCTTTTCTGATTCCCCTACAATACTTTATAATTTTACCACATACTTTATACGTCATTTACCCCGAGCCTTTTTCCCCCTTTTCTGTGCACAAAAAACGAAAGGATTTTTATTATAGGAACAATAAACAATTCTGAACATGATATCGAAGAAATATACCTTATTTTTTTTCGCATCAATCCTTTCTTGTATATTCTTTGTCCTTTCCCGTTGTCTTTCCTCCATCTTTTTCTCAACTTCTCGAGTCCGTTCTTTCCTGGTTAAGATCAAGATAGTATGTCATCGACACCGATTAAAATCGATTCTTGGCATTCTTAAAAAAAAAACTTGAATCCTACCATGCTTTTTCGCTACTCTTCTTTTTTGATGCATTTTTCTTTATTGTTTTCTTCAATAAGTGTGGATCGTCCTTTATTTTTTCACCTTGTACCTTTCTCAGAGCTTTTGTCCATTCATCCTTTTCACGAAGTTGTATCGCCTAATTTTTGTTATAAAGTTTTAAGTCGTCTAAATACGATCGATTTCCCTGCTTATTAATAAATACCTTTTCAGGTTCTTCTTTCTTTATTTTCTCAATCTTTTCTGCGCGATTTTGAAGCTTGTAATTAAAGGGTAAAATTTTAGAGTTGGATCCCTCCAAAAAACTATAATAAAGCAGCAATAGAAAAAATACACAAGTACACACCTTATTCATGAGGTGGACGTTATCAATCTTCTTTGTTTTCTTTTTTTCACCAAAATCAAATTTCGTAAATTGCATGTTTCCAGATGCTTCGCCTGGATCCTGATCCTCAGAGTCGTCATTTTCTAAAGATTTCTCGTTCAATGATACTTTTCTGTCATCGCCCTTTGGCTCTTTTTGTTTCTTCGTCTTTCTTTTTTTCCTCTCTTCCTTGCTTCTATTTCTTTCCTCTCGACTAATTTTTTCGACATCAGTGTCTGTTTTCTGTTTCGCAACGCGTAATCTAGCAAGTCTGTCAGTAATCGTCAAACGTGGAGAATCGTCTATGTAAGAATTAAATTTAAAATTAGAATCATAAATAATTATTTTTTTTTCTTTTTACCTAAAACACTACTCCTTATTCGCTACCGGTTTCCAATTTGATTTCATCTGCATTTACTGACACATTATCCACATCCGATTTCTTTTTTTCCTTGTGTTCACTTAATCGCTCTCGTTGAATATCTGGTATGGTTTTTAAATTGACAGGATCAAACTTTATCGGAGAATTAATACAAATGATAAATATAATGTAGATAAGTGACTATAAGTGAGGGAGTTTAACGATAGCTTGTGAGAAGTCACTTATTTTTTCCCTATACCTTTTGTTTCTTCGCGGCTTTTTGCTGTTCTTGAAGTAACTGCAAATGAACTCTCTTTTTATTATACTGAACTTGTTCGTTTTCATATTCGGTTTTACTTGGCTAATTTAATAATGGGGTTCACTTGAGTTTAGTATAGCACAAAAGTGCAATTTTCTGGTAACTTACGTCATTTTTAAAGTAAGGTTTTGGAGGTATTAAACTTATGAAGGTATCTATAAAATCACTTTGCGCCTTAATTCGTTCCTTAAGATAATACAAATCGATATATTAGTTTATTATAAAAATAAAATTCCAACCGTCCAGTTATTAATCACCTCGAGTCCTTCTAGTGTCCACGAAGTCATGACAAGAAAAATTTTTGGCGAAAACAAAACTTTTTTATTGGCTTTATACTGATTGGCTACGCAATTTTCGCTGATCCTCCAATTACTTTTAAACATTATATACAGTATATGAAAATCACTAGAAAGACTTATTAATTTAGATGTGCATCTATATTTAGAAGAGAGGAATTCTAGTTATTCATTAAGAGAACTTTCCACATTAGGCCCTGATTATGTGCTCTGGTCTCGCTTGCATATAGCTGACGTTTTCTTGAACTTTCCTGGTGATTGTTCCTACTTTTCAAATATACTAACAATCTCCCTGGACCAGGTTCGCAAAATGTTCTTAAAATGTTCTCACAAGGTTTAAGAGAATGTTAATGGCCGAAGCCATTATTGTTTCCCTTTCATTTTTTCTGCTACCAATTCTCTGAAATCTGAAATAATCTTGTTCTCTTTTTTGGCCTTTTCTTCTTGGCTGCAGAAATTTATTTACAATGTCATTTTCAACGAATCACAAATTCATAAAATATAATGGCAACATACTATCACTTACTTGTATAACATTAAAGCACGTTTCTCTTCTGCAGAAATAACTTGATTTTCTTTACGAATACGTACTGCGTTCATACGTCGATGTCTATTTTTTTAATTGAATATGTATTTATTTATTTACTTACAAGCACTTTATATGAAAAATACGATTTTAATATTATATTGAAAACGTACCGGCTTCCACTCATGACATAGCCTACATCTTCGAAGGATTGAATTTCATTACTGGTAAGACCGATTTCACCACGTCGCGGAATACGTTTGCCCTCCTGTACATATGCTGCCATAGCTGAACCTTCGCCAGCTAATAAAGCTCCACCATAACTGAAAAGATAAGAATAGACGAAGAGTTCAGAAGATATCTCTTATAAATTATAATAAAAAAATGTACTCACTCTCTCTCTCCGAGTTTGTTTTCGTTCATCGAGAGAGGCACGGGACCGACATTTAACAAATCCTCGGGTAGCTCAACTGAGTAAAAAGATAAAAGTTTAGTTGTTTAAAAGAGATTTTTTTTATTTATTCATTCAGGATTCGTACCTTTTTTTTCTACCCAAAGTTCTTCCATCTGTTCCAACTTTCTCTCGTCAAGTTCCACGGCATCCGCTTCGTCTAATCTTTTGTGTTTATTCTTTCTTTCATTGGATTTTTGACTTTCACTTTCCGTGGAATCATTGTCTTCCTCTGAACTAACAGAACGAGTGCGACGCTTTCGGGACTCTGACGATTTTTTATGTTTTTTATGGTGTTTTTTTTTTTTTTTTTGACTCGTCCGTTTTTTCGAATGTCGCTTACTCCTCGATCTATCTTCATGTTCTGAATCTGCGGTCGAATCTGAGAGACTCTCTGAATCGCTGATGCTAAGAGAGCGTCTCACATGAGTGGATTTTTCTAATCTTGAAGGCTCCTCGGGCGAAGGCGGCCAAATGGAAAATGTACTTTCCTGACGAATCCGTTTACGTCTATAAAAGATTGAACGAAATGCTATAACTCCAAAACGTACTGGAGTAGCTCAATATGAAACTTACTGCTCAATATTTCTTGCCATTTCGCCTCTTCTGGAATCTAGATCAAAATGTCGTTTCCGGGGTTCGAAATCTCGACGTTCTAACCGTTCAGAATCCCGTCTCGTACGATGATAGCCGTCATAGTCTTCGTAAGTGGGACTTTCTCTCCGATGTTGACGCGCCGGAGAGCGACCATTATGTCGACGTTCCGGTGGATGCCTATTAGGGCTTCGCGCAGTTCGAGCTCTTTCCCTATCATAACTTTGGTATCTATAATCGGCTTCGCGCTCTTGTGAACGAGACCGCCTATCGTTAGAAACTGGGTCCATGAATACGAGTACGTAACAGATATTTTTAAATGCGATACAAAACTCGTTTTATTGGATAATTAATATACTTTTTTAAGAAAATACTTAATCATATATTCTAGGATAGTAAGTTATGCAACCAATCGGATAGGCTAATGAGATAAATTAGAAATCGTCAGGCACAGTACTATTTAAAGTTTCGACATGAATACATCCGAATACGAAACGATAGCAGAGCCCTTTACCTATCTGCAAGACGTTAATTTTGTCGAGTACTCGAATGAAAATGAAAATTGCATCAATGATTTACGCACGTCTAATTATGAAACATTCCCAAATGATAACAACTCTATGTCAAACTTCCTGGCAAGTTTTGAAACGACTGAAAATTTGTCGCCGAGAAAGGCCGATCCGCATAATGTGCTTGAAACTTTAAATCTAAACAGACTGCTCCAAGCGGAACTGGATAGAGTCAGAGAGGGAATTGATGCGGCGATTCAAAGAAATATATCACTTCAAGTGAGTGCTCATTATTCTTCGCGTAAATTTATGGAGAATTCATTTCTGACAAAACAATTTTAGGCGCGTCTAAGCCAGTTGAGACAGGAAGAAACTGCCATTTCAGAGAAGACTATTCTTACATCATCAGCATCACAAAGAACATTCGGTCCACCATTTTTTGTTGACACAGATGGAAACGTAGGCGAGTTTGTCTGAATTTTCACATTGCCAATCATTTTTTCTATAATTAACAATCTGTCCCTTTTACACAGACCCCACCAGAGAATGAAGATGAAACAAATGAGCAGCCATTGGTTTTTAAGAGTACAAGATGTAAGTTTAACATTCTTCATATGATCATGTACTTATTTGATTGATTTTTAATTTTCTTACAGGGACTCAGTATGAAAAAGAAGCGCTTCGAAGGGGAATTCAAGATCACAATATGAAACGGGAAGCTTTAAAAGCACTTAAAGAGTACGAAATGAAACTTTTTTTATACATTGAATTATTGATCAGGAAGGCTAACAAAATTTGTAAAAAAAAAAAAAAAAAAAAAGAGGTCGTCCGATATCGTCAGTGGAAAAAATGTCGAAAGATCAATTTTTGTACAGTGTGGAGGATGTGGAATGGTCGCAATTGGCAAAACAATACGTAATGCGATAATTTATGATATTTATATCATAAGAATCTATTCTTAATTATTATTATCAATAGGTACCAACTAAAACAAAAGAAGATTGTATCATTCAATGGACTAATCACAGCCACCCTTGCATAAATAATAATGAATGGACTACACAAGAAACAAAAAAATTACTTGAAGTTGCGAAACAAAACGAATTTAGAAATTGGGTGAAAATCGCGTTAGAATTGGGTGTCGGTATTTCTCAAAATCTCTTGGTTATTCTTTTTTTTTTATTTAACTTAATAACTATATGATTTTTAGACAAATAGGACTGCTGCTGAATGCTTTAAGCAATATAACAGGCAGTCTTCAAATCCTCGGTATTTATTTACTTATTTATTTATTTATTTATTTTTATTTTAGACTATAACATAGTAAATTGTTAATAGGAAATGGTCCAAAGAGGAAGACGAAATATTAATTCGCGCAGTTGATCTTTACGGAGAAAAAAATTGGCAACAAGGTATACCTAGTCTTTTACTGATGGCCCAATATTTTATTAATTAATTAATTAATTGAATTAAATTATTTGTCAGTTGCACACTGTCTGGACAACAGAACTGGGCAGCAATGTTTACATCGGTGGACAAAAACATTAAATCCTGCAATTCGTCGTGGACGATGGAAAAAGGAAGACGACGAAGTAAGCCAAAATAAATTTTAAATCTGAATAGAAATTGTTTAAGTTTTTTTAATGAACCTTATATTTTGTAATAACATTTCCATGAACAGGCACTTAAAAACGCAGTCTCTATTTATGGACCGGGTAATTGGGTGAAAATACAGCGGTATGTTTTAGGTAGAACGGATGTTCAATGTCGAGAGAGATGGATGAACGTGTTAAGTCCGGACATAAAAAAGGATCCTTGGGCTAATGAGGTAAAATTCTTGATACATATAGCGTTCAGCATTGATACTGATTTTGATTTTTTATGTTCTCATTTAGGAGGATGAAAAATTAATGAGTTTAGTGAAGAGTATAGGATTAGGAAAATGGTCAAAAATTTCATCATTCATGGACGGACGAACGGATAACCAGGTTAATATTGGTTAATTTATACATGTTCTCTTTTACAAAGTTACTCCTTTTATATTTTATCAATAATATTTCGTTATAAGTGTTGGCGTAGATACAAGGTATTGAAGAAACAAGCTTCAAAAAGAACAGAGAAAACTCCCGGAGCAACCAGCCCCGGCGCTTGTCAACCATCTGCCGAAGCGGTTCAGCCTCAAGGTCTTATTACTTTTTTATTGAATGCATTATACCAGGCTTGTATTAATGAAATGTTTACCTATTGACAGATGTAACAAGCAGTGCCGAAATTACACCGTTAAATGAGAATACTTTAATGGACATCGTTGATAATTCTGAATTAACGGATGTAGATGATATTGCTGAAGCTGCTTCATAAATAGCTTCATCAGTGCTGAGAACTTCTATATCTAATATCAAGAACACTCATGTTAGTTTAATGAGTTGAAAATCGATCCTAAATAATGTTTTCAAAATATCAGGTAATTTTAGTCTTATCACCTTGAACAAGTACTATTAATCCCACTAATGCGTCTATTATGAACACCGTAACTTATCAGAAAGTTGTAAAAAAAAAAAAGAACCGATTAAAGCTGAAATATCAAGTTTGAGCAGTATTGAACAGTAACTGTATATAATTGTTATCGGCTTTGTATAATCAACTAAATAAACCTGTTTTTTGCAAAATTTAATTATGCAAATATGATTATGATGGGCAATTGCGAAAATCAATTAATCTCGACATAACGTAATCCTAGAATCCGTTATATTGAAGTTTATAATGAAATGATCCGTTATATTTCAGTAAGATTTATTACAGTATATCTATTTTGGACCTATTTTAATATATCAATTTTTTTATATTATATTTTTTCATAATTCCGTTATTTCACGTTTCACCGTGTGATAGGAAATAGAAATTACTTAAGATAAAAAGAAAAAATGGCATAGCTGTCAGGTTTTTTTTTTTCAATTTTGAAAATGCTAATAATATTAGTTTTTTTTAAAAAAAATATATATTATTATTATTATTATTTTAACTCGCAATCATGTCACGATGGCTTGTCTTTATTGAAAAATTTAAATAAAATCTACAATAATTTATAGACTTCTACAAAGTGACTAACTCATTGTTATATAAAAGTTTTCAAGTCCAATTTTGCAGATAATATTATGCCCTCATGATATAATTGAATTAATTACTATTTATCAGGATCATTGATAATAATTTGTTACTGTTGATTGATTCAAAAATCAATAAATTGTTAAATTAAAAGGAAAAGAAAAATAACAATTAAAAGTTTAAAAACAAAATTATTCTCTTTTCAAAAAAATTGTCTAATTAAGACATTTTTTTTACTTTATTTAAACTTTAAAAGAAATTTTTCTTTTTATTATTTATAATATTAGATAAATCAATTTAACTAACCCTTCATTTAATTAAGCATTAGATTAAAATATCTCAAGAGAAGTATTTAAATCTTAGCTTTTGTTTATTAAAGTTTTATTATTATTTGAGAAACTTAAAAATAAGATAAGGATTTATAATTCATATTATTTATCTCTTAATTTTTTAATATTATATATATTTCTTAAGAAATGGGCTTCTGGAAGATAACTATTTTTAAAATATTTTTTTCAATTATTAATGATATTATTAAAATATAAAAGTATACTTAAAAAAAGTTTATTTATTTAAAAAAAAAAAAAACTCTTTTCTATAGATCTTTTTTTTTTCAAAAAATTTCCTTTTTAAGCAATTTTCTTTCTTATTTTTCTCTGACTTTATAAAAAGTTTTCAAAGTCACCATGTTACCCAAAACTCGAGCACAACATAGAATAACCCAACAATAACAACATAACTAATAATGGGTTCCTAAAGTATTTAGTATATAAAATTTCACAAATCACTTATGTCTCTTTTTGAAAAACAAAATTTATAGCTCTTCTCTTTAATAGGAATAAAAGTCAGGAAATACTATAAATTAATAATTTGGATAATGGAAAACAATTGTGAATAGTTTTTTAATAATTATTAATTTAAAATTTTTAATATTTCCTAATGAGGGACATTTGACTTTTGTCCTTGTCTCCTTCTTTAGAAACTCATCTTTAAATATACAATAACACAAACATTGTTTCAAGTAACATAAGAAATTATACTCAAAATCAGCAAAACTTTGCAATAGAAATTCAAGAAATAGAGGAAAAAAGAGTAAAAGTTATTTTTCCAGCTACTACTAATAATACTATACATATTTCAACAAAACAAACAGATATTGGCTCAACCTCAAATAGAATCTTCAATATTGAATATGAAAATATAAATGACAAAGCAGTACTTCTTTCACTCTTAGAGATTTTCACTTTAAAACAAACTCCAAAATCAATTGATATAAAAAAACAAAACATTAAATTCAACACCATAATAAGGGAAAAAACAAATTTGATGATAGGTAGCCCACTGCAAGATCACTTCCAACTGACTGGCAAGTTGAATATAGAAAAAAATGATTTAAATAAACAGTTCCTATCGAAGAGGTTCCCAGTAAAGACAACCATAGCAAAATTTAAAATTTGATAAAGCACTTTGCCAAATTCCAATCCTTTTTACATATCAAAATTGACAACCTATGAGATATAAAATAGATTATTGCTTTATTTGAGAATGAAAAAGATATAAATAGAGCTAAAAATCTCATTGTTGATGATGATACCATTATTTATATGATAGAAATACTCATACATAACAGTATTGCAACCAAAAACAAAAGTATCTGAGTATGAGATATTCCACTCAATGTTATATACAATGATATGTATACAATCTTTACTAAATTTGAAGAAATTCAATCTCTCAAAATGCAAACAATTGATATGTGGCAAATAGCCACAGTGAAATACAAAAATCAAAAAGATTATGAGAAAATCCAAACCAGATAGGCAATCCTATTCAAAGGAGATCTTATTTGCATTTATCTCTTTCTTAATATTCATTAAATTAAAATAGAAAGAAACAGATATACAATCAAATTAACCAACCTACTATAGGCTTCAACTTCAAAAAAATAATTAATCAAACTAAAGCTTAAACATGTTATATTTCAAGAATCTCTCAATATCAATGAAAAAGATTTGCTTTAATTTTAAAACAGATGAACTCCTAGAAACTGTCAAGATCTTTCCTGCAAAACTTGGAAATACTGAACTCATATAAATATATTTAGATACCAAAGTATACAACCTCTGCTTTAGTACTGAACACATGATCAAAGATTGTCTAATTCAAAGCAAGCAACAATTCCTACAAATCAAGAAACAAGAAAATGCCAAGAAATTCAGATATCTTTACAATAGATACAAACCTAATGAATACTCTACAAACTCACAAAGACAAATCCTACAAAGAGATTGTAACAAATCTTTCTTTGTTGAGATTGTAAAGCATAGAAATACTATCACAAACTATATCAATATAAAGGTAACAGATTTCACTAGACACCTTACTGATAATGTTCAAAATATCTTACTGCATAATATCCTAATAGCTATCAAAGAAATATAACAGAAGATTAAAAATATTAAATTTGAATTTATTTACATAAACAAGTATATAGGACACCTTGAAGATAACAGCTATTATTACCATATATATGAAGCAAAACATGAACCATAGGATGAAAGGGATAACAGATCAATCAATGAAAAAGTTATAAATGTAATTTCCAATATCTTCAGGAAAAGAAAAGTATTAAGTTCAATTATAGAAATCAGATAAGATCAAGCAAAAATCTACAGATAACTTAATAGGTTATCAGGCAATATAAATATAATCATATCATTTCTTTCTGAACTGGTAACTATCCAAGTTCCCTTCTCCAATGATGACATTCTCCAATTCCCTTCTAATTAATGAGTAATACAAATGACATCTCTT